CCCCCCCCCCCCCCCCCCCCCCCCCCCCCCCCCCCCCCCCCCCCCCCCCCCCCCCCCCCCCCCCCCCCCCCCCCCCCCCCCCCCCCCCCCCCCCCCCCCCCCGACACTCTACTCATACATTATTATTATCTAGAAGAATAAACAAAGTTTTCTGCAGTTAGAGCTCATTCCTTCCGGCGCTAAGAAAGTCGACTTTTAATTTCCACTTCATATAGTAAAATTGATTCACATTTACCGTTAAATGGCTCCAGATTATTTCAACGTGTACAAACAGTATACGTGGGCACAGTAAGTCTTAGGAAAATGGCAGAAATGAGCAAGTCAAGTCGTTTTTGACTTGACTTAGTTCTAAAAATATGACTCATGACTTGACCTGGAAAAAACGACTTGACTTGAAGCAACACTGTTGATCTAAACACGACTCTTTTATTGCCTTCATATCCATCTGCTTCATCCTTATTCACTTCAGTTAGTTCAAATTCTTTAGGTGTAAATGAAGCAATTTAACAAACTGTCTGTGATCAGTTGTTTATCGATCATGTAATAGAAAAAGAAACAAAACGAGCACTAAATAAATGAACCTCTAATTGAAAACGAAGTTTTTCGAAAAACGACTTGACTTGAGTTCACTTCACTTGAAAAAGTCTGTCGCTCTACTTGGCTTGAGATAAAAGATGACTCATGTCTTGACTTGAGTTGCTGTTTTTTTAAATAAGACTTGACTTAAGACTCGAAAAGCCTTGACTTGCTCATCTCTGGAACGTGGTCAGTATGCTGGATGTCTATGTTTTATTTTTTGTTTATAGCGATTTCTATCTTTTGTGTCAAGAAATATAGTGCTAGAAGCACTTGAATCTACAAGACATGAACTCGATAAAGTGGAGAAGAGTCTATTAAAATCTGAAATTGATTTAAATGAAATATTAAGATCTTTGGAAATAATTCGAACAAATCTCGTACAAGTGGAAAATCATTTTATTGTTTTAGCAGATAAAGTTGATTTGTTAGAAAAACGAGTTGAACCATTAGAAAGAGAAGTTGAACATTTGAACCAAAAACTGGAAAGTATTGATAAAGGCCATAAAAACCATACTCTCAGTTGATTGCACAAATGAAATCAGAACATTTAATTAAAACTGACGAGAAATTAGACGAAGATCAAATTGAAGAACAGATTGATAACACACTGACAGAGACAAAACTGATGTTGAAAAATAACAATGATAGTAAATGTCGAGAAATTGAACTGCTCAATATCTATGCTTCTAACGAGGGAACGTTCCGAGGTGACACCCTCCGTTTTCCTTCGTTCATATGCCATTCGATAGAGTATATGGAGGTAAGGCGCCGTTAATTCAAAAATCAAGTGGAAAAACTTTTGAATTCTCAAACACATATTCTGATTCATCAGACGCTGCTGATCACGAATCTTACCTTATTTTTTCGATTTGACCGAGTTTTCATGCAGAAAACCCCAAAATACTGTGAAGGCGTCAAAAACCTCGAAAAACCGATTTTTCAGAAAAATCCCGATTATCTCCTGATCTTTTCATTTTTCGATCTCACCGATGCGATTTTCGGATTCAGCATCACGAAGCACATCTAGGCACTTGTCATTCGATGACTTTTCTTCAAGACTTAAACTCCGGTAGCTTATCAAACACTGATCGCTCAAACCTTGAGGTTCTCGTCGCGCAATGCTATCTAGTTTTTTGCCATGAGAGCTAGAGACTTCTTTCATATGCCAGAAGACTCACCTAGTCCTGCTCCACAAAAGTATGCTTCGTTTTTTTCGAAACGTTTTTCCTTTTAGGAGAAATTAGGAAAAGACTGAAAAAGTACGAGTTTTTCGAAAAATCCTTCAGATAATGAGCGCATAACTCAATGATATTTCCGCCTAGAGAAGTGCTATTATGGTTTTCTAGGTAAAAAGCAATGCTGAATACGTTAGAAATGTGTTTGAGAGATTTGGACCTTTCCAAGTAGGTTTTGCAAAAAATCAGAACTTTGCCAATCAGATTTGCCAATAACTTGGCCTACAAAGACACTGCGAAGCTCGGATAGGTCTTATTTTGCTCAGAAACTGAGGCGCATTCAGATGCGGTGCCTCACAAGGGAAATGTGATTCCGAAGGGTACTGAGAGATTTCCACAGGGACGGTTTTTCAATAAACCTCGTGATTACTCTGCAACTCTTCATCAGACATTGCATCTGAATGCGCATCGATTTCTGAGCAAAATAAGACCTTTCCGAGCTTGGCAGTGTCTTTCTAGGCCGAGTTATTGGCTAGTGGAACAAAGAAACAAAAATTGGAGGAAATTGACGAATTCGTCTATAATTTTTTCCAAAAAGCACGCGAAGACCTGCTTTTCGTCCATGATATCGATTTAAAACGTCAGGCTCTGAAAAAAGCACGGGAGCTCAACAAAGAAAACTTTCTTGCAAGTGGTCACTGGCTTCACAACTTCAAACGTCGTCATGGAATTTGTTCCAGACATGTGACAAAGTTAGTCACAAAACGTGAAGCAGAAAATGAAGAAAAGAACAAAGAGTCTGCTGACGAGTTTGTCTGGGCTGCAATTGGAGATGTACACGAATCGCACGCTCTCTTTTGTCGGAGAGAAAATAATCGTTGCAAAAGTGAAATCCGAGTTCAACGTTTCGCATTCATACACAGTCCAACCGATTATTTCAATGTCTGGACAGTGTATTGGACCTCTCTATCTTTCTCTGAAAGAGGCTTTCGGTCATATGAGCGAAGGAATTAAAAATAATTTATTTCAGGCGGATAATAATTCAACCCCGTTGGACTTGGGTGGAACAGGCAGTATAAGCATATCATCAGACAATGCTACGACCATGTTTGTCTCTACGATCCAGATATTAATCTAGCTGAACGAAATAATGTGATTCAGTTAAACTCACTAGGCTATAACCAGATCTTCTCTCCAAAATTTCACGCAATGACCCGGTACAGCTGGTACGAGTCAGGATATTTGCAAAATAGTCAGGGTCCGTTCGAAAATGTTGGCCAGGTTTGTTTCGGTTTCAACAGTCATCGCTGCCATGCAAGTCAGTGTAACAATATACCGTTCATTCAATGCAGCTATTGTTCGAAACTTTTATGTTTTCAAGATTTTTTTCAGGCCTATCATTTTCATTGAGTCTGATTGTTTATGTTTTTTTCTGCCATATTTTTCTATTTTATCCAAGTTAAAAAAGCTTTTTTTTAAAATTCGTTTGTATATAGTACTGTTGGAAAATAAAGCAGAGATGAAGAAAAATCTACAGATCTTGAATAAAGCAGCATAGAGGTCTGAAACTTTGGGCATATTTCCTAAATAGATAGACCTATGTTGTGTGAAAGTTTTAAGCGATTTCGTGGATATTTGATGGAGTTATGAATTTTTCATTTTTTCACGTTTTCCGCTCGGAAACTCAGAAAAATGCCTATAACTTTCGAAGAAAGCGAAAGGGGCACTAATCCTATAGGCTTTTTCATACCTTCATATACTCTGTCGAATGGCATATGAACGAAGGAAAATGGAGGGTGTCACCTTGGAACGTTCCCTCGTAAATGTGGCCTCAAATTACTAGATCAATTAGTTCGCTTTATGGAACCTAAAATTTATCGAAATAAAGCTTCCCATATTAATAAACAATTAATTCAGTATATCAAACTTCATAATGAACTTTTATTAGAAGAATTTATCAAAGAGTACAGCATTCGTCTCAATTTGAGTGATCCTAATTTCCACGAAATGTAAAAATTATTTGTAATATTTTGTACATCAAAAAAACAATAGTAAGTAAATTATATGATTTAATATTGTCAGTAAAAAAAGAGAATGGACTCGGATATTTTTTGAATAACATTTGATAGAAAGTAGCTAGGGAGCTTCGACCTTCGCCATGCGAAAGAAGAGACTTGCTGACATGTTTTCACAAGCATAAACTTTTCCGGCAGTGATTTCTGAAACAAGTTTTCTAGGAGATCTTTTGAAAACCAGGCCGTGTGTAAATGGTTTTCAATAGGATTGTATTGATTTTCTTCCATGCTATGATAGCCCAAGGTATCCTCTTCAAAATAAGAGTCAATCGAGACCTTGATTTTCCGCAGCTCGGGTGTTGTGTCGGATTTCCTGCGAGTCCCAGGCACCCGATGATTATTGGTAGCCTCGAAAACGGATGGACTATTAAGTAATCGATCATGCTGAGTCTTGTGGCAATATTTGTTTTTAGAAAAAGTTCTAAAAGTCTACCGAAAAGCGAGTTTTACGAAAGTTTGGGTTTTCACGCTGTTTTCATCTAATATTAAAAAATTCACTATTCACTCAATAAACATCAGAGCGAGTTCAGACCTTCAGGACATGGTTAATTGTCTCCGCTGAACATGATTAGATCGAAAAAATCGAGAAAGCATATTTGTGTTAATGGGTTTTCCAGAAACTCTTTTGAAAAACCTTGGGTTTGAAATAATAGACGGCGATGGTGTTATATAACGTAAACACGTAAATTTTCCAAGTGCTTAAGAGAATTATTAAATGTTTATAAGAAAATTTTTTGTGGACATCGGATAGACTTAGGATTATGTTTTCTTAACTCACGCAGATGTCTAGTTTACGGCAAAATAAAACGGCGAATAGCAATAACCATTTAATAGCTTAAAATCAACAATTGATCGCCAAATTTGTGATTTTTCAAGGATCGCGATTAATTGTTAAAAATGCCGCGATTGCGTTGACATGGAAAAAAACAGAACGTTGTGTGACTGCAATGCAATTCTCTTCAAGTTTGCATTCTCCTGGATCTATAGCTTCCGGAGAACTCGACGATCTCTACCAAATCTATGGGATCCCGTCGCTGGTGAAGAAACCTTTGAAGGTCATAGTATGTTTTAGGTGACTTTACTAAACCATCGGGGCACTGTTATCGCATGTCTATTCTCTATTAAAAATTTGAAAACTTGAAAAAACAAAGAAAAGAATAATAAATACATTGCGAGTATTAAGTGCGACACTACTACAACCAGCACTTGAACAAATATACATTTCCTACATTTTACATATTATACCAAATGCTTTACAAATTTACGGATGTACAATCAACTATGATTTGCGATTATTTAGACACTTACAGTATCAAGCTGCTCTCACTATTTCTGGGACTTGCCGCGAGATTAGTCAGGAAAAGCTTAAAGACCTCGGTCTTCCTTTTACTGACCAATTAATTTAATGCGGTGCGAAGCAATACCACATTACAGTAATAAACTGAGTTTTTCCTTTCTAGAAAAGTGGCGTTTTTTGTAACAATTTTCTCGAAACTAGAAGGGGTAGAATAAAATTGGCGAGTTAAGAGGTTCGAAAGTACGTGATTTGAACGACTGGAACTTGTAATTTTTTTTCAAAAGAAAAACGATAAGTAATCTGACGATGGAACCCCTCGAAGTGATTAAACGCTTTTTGCTCGGAATCTAGTGGGTTATAGGTTATCGACCATGCTGATTACGAATACGACCATGGGGCTTCCCCATAGCCCTTCGAAGACCTGGTTTTTTAGAAAACCA